TTTTTTTTTTTTGGTGTGTGTGTAGTATTTTGATATAAATACTAGTTTAGAAGACTTATGGAAGTGGATCTGCCGCAACTATGACTCGAGTTACTGGTCGTTGGGATTCCTCACAAGAGGGATGAACTCCCTTATGTTCACAGCATAAATATACTCTAGTGATGCAAGAATATTTTTGTGTAGCTAATTCTTAAACGTCTTTTGTTTTCCATAAAAAAATGTTGGAAAAACCTGTTATTAATTTGTATTTGTAAAGTAATTTTGGAAATAAAATAATATAAAATAGAAATGTAGAAGAAACAGAATTTTAATCCGAGCCCACTGAATTTAGTGTTTCCTTAAGGAACTTAATCCCCTTCTAGTACCCGAGGTTGTGTATTATTTCCTCACAGGATAGAACGGATTACACAGTGGTGTAGCGACACTTCATACCCAAGTGTTTCAGCGAATACAATGATCGGTAGCAAATCACACTTATTGTTGCTTTCTTTCAGTTGAAATAATGCAGAAGAAAGAAGGAGAATTCAAAATTTTTGTAAGGAAAATCTGAGGGAATGACCTGCTATTTATAGCCAACAGATTGAGTTTAAACGAAGAGGTGCAACTCTTTAGAATGATTGTTATGAACGCGGAGTATAAAAGGGCTAATTTGGATGAAACAATATTACGTTAATCTTAATATTAACAAATAAATTTGGTCCAAAATATGATCAATCAAATTATTTGACCAAATTCAAATCCGAAATCGAGCGAATGACGACAACAGTGCGAGACTTGCCTTCTTCTTAACACTTTAAGAGCTAGAAGAAGAGCAATTGTATATATATCCATCAAAATTCTTTTCCTCCTCCAATACGGGGCAATGTACCTTTGTCAAACAGAAAAATTCAAATATTTCATTTTCCCTTCCATTTCCCATTCACTCTTTATTTTAAGCTAAACCAAGCTTAAACCCAACAAAACCTTATTTCTCTATATCCATTATATTGTATTATAAGTTATAAATAGGATTTAGGAGGATGGCCAGCTGAGCTAATGTGCCAATTAGCACGCCTTATGGATGAACCCGACCCAATAATTTTTTGCTACCATTTTGATTAGGTACCAAAAGAAGAAATGTCACTTCAAGATTGTTGATTTCCTATTGGTGATGGGCATAATAGGAAAAGATTAGATGATATAGTTACAGTTAGAAATGGTCAAAATAATTTTTTTAAATGATTGTAAATTAGTTGATTAAATAAAGTTAATTAAGAAATTATTGGTGTACGACTTCAAATATCTTTCTTGCATTGAAAAAAATTTCCTTTTAACAAATGGCTTGCTACAACATAAACTTGATCGGCCTAAAAACTACTACAACAACAAACAGTTAAAATTTTACGAGTAAGGTCTGGGAAGGGTAGTAAGTATGCAGACTTTATCTCTACTTTGAAAGAGTAGAGAGACTGTATCCGATAGACCCTCGGCTTAAGAAGATAAAAAGAAGTAGTAGATCAGTAACCGATTCACCTAAAACTACCAAATAATTAAACATTTATCATGGAAGTGAATATTCTTTTCAAAAGGACCATAAGGAATATATATTATTGCATACAGCTATGCTCTCTTTAAATTTAGCTTTGATCACCAAAAAAAAAATGGGTGGCATTAATTTGGATATGTTTTCTTTCTATTCTCTTCCTTTAATATTTTTTTGTCTTTTTAAATGAAATATTGTTGTAGTGGAGCAACAAAAAGATGACCAAGTACATGATACGGACATTAAAACTAGTTTGGTATTATTTTTTTTCTTAAAAAATAAAAAGATATTGTTACTTTATTTGATTATCAACTCCTTAATCTGTATCGGATAATAAAGTTAAATAATCTAAATGTTAATTTACTAAAAAATATTGTTTTTTAATAACATAGTAGGACCAACTTCACGTGAACATCAAACTCACTGCATGAGAAGTCAGCCCTATCCCTACACAAATATTTTGAACCTTCCCTATGTATATTAAACAATTCAAAAGAATAATTTAAAAATATTTTCAAGACTTGAATTTTTTTGTATAAATGCAACAACATAAAAGCATAATACATCATTTCATTACAAATTCCAAACTTTATCTCATTTCTAATTAACAACATGAATAATTTCTTGAATTCTCAATACCTACATAAACACCAATCTATATTGAACCACAACAAAAAGAGGCTAAATCAAGAACAAGTCAAGAGGTTAGAGGAGAGTTTTGATTCAACAAAGAAGCTTGAGCCAGAGCAAAAAATCCAACTTGCTAAAGAGTTAGGTGTTCCTCCACGACAAATTGCTATATGGTACGTACGTTCTGTTAAATTATATGATCACTTCATCTAAAAACTTAAACTGTCTGAAAGAGAAAACGTTTATTTACTTAATTATGTGTTCGACAGGTACCAGAACAGACGAGCTAGATGGAAGAACCAGAGCCTCGAGCTCGACTACAATGCACTCCAACATAAGCTTGACACTACATTAGCTGAGAAGAGGAAGATTGAGAAAGAAAACGAACGTCTTCGAGGCGAGTTGAAGAAGGTAAATGAGATGTTAGTTGCTTGTAAAAAAGCACAAGGATATGAGGAAATACAAGGATTAATTCCTTTAAATGCAGCTAATTCCATTTCTAGTGGTTGTGAGGAAGGAATAGTGAGTTCTAACTACCAAGAAGATGTGAGTTGTTCATTGGTAAAAAATAATAGTGAGTCTAATTTGCAATTTGATGAGCTTTATGCTTGTTTGATGGGTGCAGAAGAAGGATCAAATTGTCGTTTAAGTTGGCAAAATGGAAAAGATCTTTGGGTGTGGAAAAATTGAAAGACATGTATTATTGAAACAATTTACGTACTGTATCATGTAATGTATCATGTTACTTACATCAAACTAATGAATACAAGATATGTGTTTTTCAGACACATTTATTGATCTATTGATCATAATTAAGTGACGTGTTTTCACACTTCTAATTAGTAATTGATAAGGTTGAATTATTTGGTTTGATGTAAACATATAATACGCGTAATATTTTCCTTGTGTTACACTATTTATAGTTACAATGATCTTGCGTTAATTGCTACATTCCTTCACTACTAGGCCACAAATACCTCCCTTAATTATACATGGTATTATTACTTTTAGCCTGCACAAGAAACTATTAATATCTGATAATCGAAAAAGTGTATAAAAGTTATATAAATTTTTGTATATAACACACACACACACACACACATATATATATATATATAAAATTTATACATTTTTCGTTTATTATTTTACAGCTACTATACAATATCATTTTTCCTAATTATATCGTTCTGCTAAGGTGACCAAGAAACTTATATATCAATCATATCTCCATCTTGTTGACCATAATAAAACAATACTCTTCCTTTGCCAATTTATGTGATACATTTAGTTTTTGAGATTCAAATTTCTTAATTTAATCGTGCATCTGGATATAAAATCTTTAAATTTTTGAAAATAAAATTTATATATTTAAAAATTACGTAAAAAGTACTATAAGTCACAACAATAACAACAACAACCCAGTGAAATCTCACTAGTGGGGTCTGGGGAGGGTAGTATATACGCAGACCTTACCCTTACCCGAAGGGGTAGAGAGGCTGTTTCCGTAAGACCCTCGTCTCAAGAAGACTAGTCACAGTAATTAATAATCCAAATATTTAAAAGGCATATGAAAAAACTACGATCAAAGTATAATTCATTTGACTATTGAAATCTGAACACCCATCACATAAATTGGGACAAAGAAAATATTAGAGTAGAGAAGAATTAAGAACTCGTTGCGGCCAATTCTAATATTAAGGTATCATTAGTTGTTGCTTAGACCCTATATATATTAGTATTAGAAAATTTATTTTATATTGACAAATTCAGAAACCATAAACTTCAAATCTTGACTCTCCGCCTCTTCACCTGTTTTAAGGATAAAGCTTTTAATGTAGGCAACAATTGCTTGGAAATACAAAGATTCTTACAGAAAGAAACTGAGGAAGGCAGTTTCAGAGGTTCATGGCAAAATGATAAATGTGTGTTATGTCGTTTTAATGTTTCGAAAATTTTCTTAATTTTTTTTAAAACATACTCCCTCCGTTCACTTTTAGTTGTCAAGTATTTTAAAAATAAATTTTTATTTTTACTTGTCACTTTTCGTACATCAAGAGAAAAATAATTTATTTTTTTCTGTGTTGTCCTTAGCATTAATTACTCATTATAAATCACTTTTCAAATTCTTTAAGGCTATACACCAATTAATATGAATATTATGGTAAATTATGTACTTATTTATTATTTCTTAAAGGGCGTAAAAAATTTAAAATGGACAAGTAACAGTGAACGGAGGGAGTATATGACTTCATTTCTTTCTTTCGCATTCTTTTCCTCGGAAATTGAAAATAATTATTTCTCGTAACTAGATCAATAAAGGATCTCAAAAATCTCATAAACTCTTGGAATATTTATAAAGAAATCATCTCGAATAGTCTGCTGAGGCATTATTGAATAACCAAAAGCAAGTTTTTAGGTTATAAGCAGTCAATTCATTGTATAATTGACTTTGCCGTATAACTCATCAAGGATAATGTGAGAATCATAATATCTATTTATATCTATATCTATCTATACTATATTAAAAGCATGAAGGCCATTAGCGAAATATCGTTCTATCTCTTTTACCATTCGAAAATAGAATTCATACGAGATAAAATAGTCATTTAATTATTCAGCTAATATTTAGGACATTGATATTAAATTTTCCCTTTTTGAACTATATACAAACTCCTAATATTTAGGAACTTAATTAATACTCGAATAAAATTTTACTTACGTATAATTGATAATTATCATTAGAGAAGGACCCATAATCTATATTATATTAAAAGGAGAGTAGTGAAGCATGAGGTTAAGCCAAGTGGCAAGCTAAAAAAAAGTCACTTGGCAATTTTAAGACAACATTAAAAATTTGAATTATAAATGAAAACATAATTAATAGAAGTAATAGTTCAATAAGAATTATTTTTTAATTATGATACAAATCTCTATTAATAGTATAATTTAGTTAACATTTTTTTTGTATAATTATGGTAGGGACGAAATAAATTATGGTAGGGACGAATTTTAATTAGTTGATCAAGCTTTGTAACTGACCTTATTTTGGTACAATATACATTACTGTAGGTATCTTTAATTAAAATTTTATGTATAATTCAGTTGTGGTCGGTATCTTTTTTTGAGAAAGAATCAATTAAATTTTTATTTTGTATCTTACACATTAATTTTAAGTTGAAATAATAATTCTTTATTTAGTAAAACCTTTGTATCTGACCTTATTTGAGTGCAATATACATTACAATAGGTATCTTTTATTAAACTTTTGTGTTTTTTGAGAAAGAATTAATTAAATTTTTATTTTGTATATTACACATTAATTTTAAGTTGGAATAATAATATTTTATTTAGTACAAGCTTTGTATCTGAGCTTATTTGTGAACAATATACATTACTATAGGTATCTGACCTCATTATATAAAGTAATGAGGTTTCGGACAAATAAATATTTTATATATAAATAAATATTTATTAAATTAATAGTGGAAATATTGCTGCAACAATTAGAGTTTTTACGATTAATATTTGAATTGAGTATTGCTAGGTTAAGTTTGAAAGTATAAGATAATTTTTGAAAATGTGGTCCAATGGAGAAAATAGAAGAATAAGATATATTTGAATTTGAGATGGGATTTTTTTTAATATGATAAGAAAATTCATATTTAAGAATATGAGCAATAGAGTCAAAGTTACTATTGAAATAATTTTTATTTATTATTTATATTATATTAAAATGAATGTAATAAAAGTGAATATTAAATTCAAGTAAACTAATGAAAAGCACATGACAATGTTAATAATATTAAGTATTGAATATACAATAGCAAAATAAGAAATAAACAGAGAAACAATTAAAATTTCTATCATAAAGAACAAAAAAGGATAAAACTTATTTAAATTTGACATAAAAAGTTTTTTTAAGTATGATAAAAAAGGTCATGATGTGGATAAGGCCACATAACTGAAGTTTAATAGAATAAATTAAAAAATATCAAAATATTAATAAATTAGAGATAATGCGGGTTATTTATACTAAGAATTAGTTTTAAAAAAATAAAGTAAATATATAATGCTTAAAAATATTATTAATGAATTTAAACTATTTAATAATTTTGAGTATTAATTTTAAATAAAATAAATATTTTTTTCAATATTAAAAAATCATACATCGATTTATCTAATAATATTAAAGGATATAAATAGATTATGATATTAAATAAAGAGGTATGTTAATGAAAGCCACATAAGAAAATAAAATACTACATATTAGGTAACTTAATAGCAATAATAAAAAATTTAAAAATATTTAATATTAAAAATAGAAGGGAAAGACGATTTGAACTTGAGATTTAAATTAAAATTATGGTGAAAATGCTCAAACTATGGATAGGACTACAAAATTAAAATTTACTAGATAAAAAACTAAAAATTGGATAATAAATTAAAACTAAGGAAATACAGAACAAATATCTTATGTGGGTAATTTTATGAACGAAAATTAAAGTCTAATTTGTATCCTAACGTTAAAAGAGAAAGAGAATTTAATTACACGTGATATAAAAAACAATTATAAGAAAATTTAATAGATTTAAAATATAATAAGAAAAAATATATCTATTAATATTTTAAACTAATTCAAAGTTATAACTTAATATAAAAATGTGATATTATATATTTTGTTTATTGGTAAAATATTAATGTAAATAACTAATTAAAAATTCACAGTAGGGACTAGGGAAGAGGATGTATAAAGAGGAAAATAGAGATAGTGTGAGAATATTTATCCTTTGAATTTATAAGGAAATTAAATAATTAAATAATACTCAAAAATATTATTGAAAGATTTAAATGAAAAAAGAGTTCCAAGTAATTAAGAGGATAAAAGTACAAAAATAAATTAGCTTTTAGGAAAAAAAATTATATTTATATATATTTATCAAAAGGGCAATAAGCAAGATATCAAGTCAATTGGTAAGCTAATAAAAGATTACATGAATATAACATTATTAAGTAATAGATAATGCAATAACTAGAAGCAAAGATTAAAGAAAGAATTGTTTTGGGTGAAAATGTAGAAGGATAAGACTTATTCGAATTTGCGGTGAAACATAAAGTGGTAGTAAGAATTTTGTTAAATAATATGCTCAAACAAGACATATCACAAACGTGATATGTTTAGTATTATTTAATATTGACCACAAAATAAAATACAAGTACTAAATCAAGGAGTTGGATTATTACAGATATAAAATAAAAATATAAATAAAAAGAAACATGTTATCTGGAAATTTTAAATTTTAAGATAATTCCAATAACTCAAATTATAATTTGATATTTGTATCCACGCATCGCACGGGTACTAATACTAGTTATTTATTAAACGGAATCTAGAAAATTACAAATAAAGAACATGCACCGAATCATGGCTCCTTAACCTAATTCATCAAACTAATGTTTGTATAGTATAACTTCGGCAACTACTCAAAATATAAAATAGATTCATAAGCCATCTCCGCTTCAAACATAAAACTGTATAAAAAATAGTTAAACAAGTATTTATCGAGATCTAATAAGTTAAATTGATTAAAAAAAAATAGGCAAATTATATTAAAGTTAAAAATATGCCAACTTCTTTGTTTGCAAATTTCTAATTAATTTTTAATATATATTATTTGATAATTTTTTGAAGAATCATAATAAAAGTATTTTTTTAATTTGTATTATTTGATAATTCTTTGAAGAATCATTATTAAAAAAAATTGTGTGTTACTTATTACGTCATAGAAATAACAATAATCTCTATTGTAGTTTCTGCGGTATTTAATCTTTGAAGACAAAACAAATAGATTGAAAACAACTGATTTTCATGTCATTTTCAGTACATAAATTCTTTATCCCATCACAAGATTATGTAAATTATCCTTAATCTTTAGTGTTATTTTCTCTTAGTTGGCTAAAACATTTTAGATTTTATATTTATTAATCTAGATACATGTGCAAAGCGCGTATCTTAAGACTAGCTTTAGGGTACATGCATTAGTGATATGTTGTCCGCCTTTTTTACACTTTAAAAATATATTTCACAATTAGGCAAAATAGTCATTTGCTTAAATTTCTAATATTTAGAACTTTAAAATTATATAACATAGAATATTTTTGAAAACTACGGTGAGATTTGGTTACTTATTATATGTAAATTTTGAAAAATAACGATTTTGAAAGTATTAAAATAAATTAAAAATAAACCAAACAAAAAGTAAAAATATGTAAGGCACCTAATAATCTAAAAATTTATGGAGTAATTTATATGAAGTAAATTACCATAGAGTTGAGTTGGCCGATATATCCAATTTTATACCTTCTAAAAAATAAATTAATCCTTCAACAAATAAATCTATTTAAAAAAATCTAATAGGATTGGCTATCATTATTTTCATAATTTTAAATGGTGCCAAATTCAAAAATAAAAGGAAAAAGATGCTTGTACGCACATTAGATTTGCTAATTCAATTGATCCTACTGGGTCTAGATCAAGGTTCCCGCTTGTTAGCTTTGTATTGGCTCCCATCTTACTACATTTATTCGCTAACTTTTATTATATAACTCAAACACAAATATTAAAATAATATTTATTTGACTTTCCTTTATATTTTGTATTCGTTGGGATTAGGTACACGCACAACGTGCGTACCATAAAGACTAGTACTATATTAAAAGCACGAAGACCCTTAGCGAAATATCGTTCGCCTTTTTTACCCTTCATAAACATATTTTACACTGGACAAAATTGTCATTCAATTATTTTTCCTATAAATTAGGAGTTTAAAATCAACTAAAATTTTGGTCATTAAATATTTTCCTATTTGAACTGTGTAGCAATTCCTAATATTTAGGAGTTTAAAATCGATTATATTATTCGTTATTAAAATTCTTCCTTATTTTAAAACTTTTACTTATTAGAAAAGCTGCATTTATAAAATTGCAAAACCTTGAATAGTTGGAAGTCTGTAATGTAGAATACAATTCCTTCACTATATTATGTTATTAGAATACTTTTAGTTGGGGCCGAGAAAAAATTGTTTATATATTTTGTTAATTTTTAATTCTCTTCTTTTAATTTGTTGTTACCTTTGTAGTAAATATGTGAAATACACACACACACACATATATATAGTGAGCAAAATTAGTCCACGAACGTTAAATAACACTAGCGGTTCAATAACATAAAGATCCAAAAATAAAGTACTCATTGATTCTTTACTATTTTAGAATAAATTATTATTTAAAAATTAAATTTTGTAATATATTTGATAGAAGTGTAATTACAATTAATATTTTAGATTTGTGACGAGCTATATCTCTTACACTAAAAATTCATAATCTATTTATTTACACTAACATATCTTGCACTTTTATTATAACTCAAGCACACATTTTAATATAATATTAATGAAATCTTATTTTAAAATAGTTAATCATTGTGACAGGGTACACGCGCAATGCGCGTACCCTAAAACTAGTCTCTATTAAAAGCACGAAGGCCTTTAGCAAAATGTCGTTCGTCATTTTTACCCTCCGTAAAATGCATTCTAAGTGGGATTAAAATGTAAATACAAATAAAAATGTTTATAGCAAAAAACAAATATCGTAGGACAAAAAGAAAAGAAGAAGAAAATAAGTTGGAAACTTTCCAAAATAAAATAGATATCCCATACGAAGTGGGATTGTCGTAGGTTAAAAAATTATACTATAGGATACTATAATAGAAACTTATTATATAATATCCCCTATGAAAAAGAAGTCAAATTGTGCAGGTTCAAAAGAAAAAAATAATGCGAGAATATAGGTATGAAACTTATTAAATAATATGGCTACTAAAGAGTTTAAAAACTCTTTATTCTCCATGAACACTATTATGGTTGGCTGATGCATTCATCAACCTAATTTAGATTTTAGAACAAGGAGAAACAACAACAACAACAACGACCCAGTATAATCCCACAGGTGGAGGCTGGGGAGGGTAATATGTACGCAGACCTTACCCCTACCCCGAAGGATAGAGAGGCTGTTTCCAGGAGACCCTCGACTCAAAAAAGCAACAGGAGCCGATATATTAGTACCATAAAAATGCATAATAAAATAACAGCAATATAAGAGATATGAAATACAGAATACGAAATACGAAATAGATGGCTGGTATAGTAAAACTAGCAGGTAAAACCCTGCATCAATAGACGACCAATGACATTCTTATTCTAACTCCTAACTGGCTAGTCTCACTCTATTGTGCTGTAGAAATATTCACAACTTTCCCCTAACCTACAACCTTAATGCTCGACCTCCANTCTGATCACCTCTCCTCAATACTTCTTAGGTCGCCCTCTACCTCTCCGCGTGCCCACTACAACCAGTCGCTCACACCTCCTCACCGGTGCATCAGTGCTCCTCCTCTGAATGTGCCCGAACCATCTGAGTCTTACTTCCCGCATCTGGGAGAATAAGGAGAAAGTGAATCAATATTAAATTTTTCCAGTGTTCTGGGCCAAAGGTAATATTGCTTGTACTTATCATCAAGCGATTTATTTGTCACGAGTTCGTCGGTGATGAAGTTGAGAGTGATCCTTCTTCGGTGCTACTTCAATTTGAGTATTTGGAGAAGGACAAACATGATATGAAAACTAAGTAACTGAGTATTATTTTATTGTACGATTTTAGTTTTTTTTTTGCTTATTTTAACATATACTTCATATTAACAGTTTATGACATGTCCAAGATTTTACGAAGAAATTTCTCAAGAAGTTTAGAAGTTACATATTCCTATTTATTTTGAGTTGAGGTAAGATTCCTCTTTTTTATCTTGTAAAACACGTTTTCATATTAGAAAAAATAATAATTTAAGTTATTTTTTTAATATGTAGAAATAGTCATTTAACTATTTCTCTGATATTTGAAATAATGAAATAATTATTTCTCTAATATTTAGAGTTTTGATATAAAAATCAAGTACTTTCAATTTCCTTCCAATTTTAGGGGTTTTCATAGCAAGTTATCAACTATTTAGATTTAGCAGTTTTAGGTGTTTTCTTTGGATGTTTATGAGTATTAGTTTAATAGTCCTTGTTTTTCTTTATTTTGTTGTTATTCCTACTTGTTGTCACATTTTTCTCCTCTCTTTTTTTATCCGTTCTCCAGTCGAGTATCTATCGGAAACAGCCTCTCTATCCTTCCAGGATAGGGGTAAGGCTGCGTACATCTTACCCTTCCTAAATCTCACTTGTGAAAATTTACTGGGCTTGTTGTTGTTGTTGTTGTTGCTGCTTAGGAGTCCTTATTTTCCTTTTCTTTTTTCCAATTTTAGGAGTTCTTTTATAAGGTTTATGAGCATTTTTGTAAATAATACAATAATTATTTAATTATTTCTCTAATGTTTCAAAATTTTAAATCCGCTAAAGTTTTGGATTAAACCATGCTTAGTGGGAATAATCTCAAATTTCATTAACTCCAAAGTTTTTAAAATTTAAGTATCAAGCTTAACTAATAAAATATTTTAATTTTAAGAATATAAAAGAAAGAGATTGGCTGGTAAGAATCAATAACAGTAATGGTTTTGCTCGCATAAAGAATCTGTCATATAGTGCTCTTTTTTAATTCCTTTTGAACATAGAATTCTTATTGAATAATAATTGTAATATAGACTTACAGTTAAATAACTAAAACTTAGGATGACTAACATTAAGATTTAAATCAATAAAAATAAATTATTTTCCTTTAGTTAAGAACAAAATATTAAGTCCTTGAATCAATTTAACCAAAAAAAAGTCTCTGAATTAACTAATTTGTAAAAATAAAAATAAAACAAATCACATTTTTGAAATTTTAATATATATCGGTTTATAATATATTATCAAATTTTTTTTTTTTTGGTAATTAAACTTTGTATTACCAGGGAAAATATTTACAAGTAAGTCAAAAAAACCTTACAAGATAACCTTCTTTCCTATACTTCACCCCCTCCCCATATATTGTTATATACACTTATATCTAACTATTACACTGGGTACCAATCTAGTCTATGTAGTATCCCCGTTGTATGTTTGGTACTTCGACAATGTATCTCTTGAATGATCTTCTTACTCATTGCTTCCCAACCTGTCACCTTTGCTTGAAAAATTCTAGTATTCCTTTCTTTCCATACATGGTATACTGTTGTTGCTGCTGTCATTTTATACAACTCTGCAGCAGCTGTATTTCTTTTAGTCTTCTTTTCAGCCAATCGTAGTTCCTCATCCCAACCAGCTACAGGTCTTCTAATTCCTTGCCATGTTAACAGCGCGCTCCACAATGCTTTCGCATATGTGCATTCAAAAAACAAGTGTTGTATAGTTTCATTGGCTTGGTTGCATAATACACACTTCTGATCTACCTGCAATCCCCACTTCTGCAATCTATCCTTTGTGTATAGCTTCCCATGAGCTGCCACAGTTAGAATAAATGTCCATCGTGGGCATCCTGTATTATGGCAGACTATCCTTCTCCAACTAACTTTTTCAAATCTTCCACGCAACCTGTGATATATGTTTTTGATTGAGCAGCTTTGCATATTCATGATGTCTTCATAGCTGAGTCCTGCATCCATGAATGTCTCCTTTGCTTTTAAGATCTTATTCACTATCCACGATGCTTGTTTTAGTTGAACATCCCATATGTGTCTTCCTTTGATGTAGTAGCTATGTATCCACTAGATCCACTGTTTCTTTTTCTCCTTGCACAAATTCCAGAATTGCTTACAGATGGCAGCCTTGTTCCACACAGCTATATTCATAATGTTGAAGCCTCCTGCAGATTTAGGCAAGCAGACTTTCTCCCATGCCAGTAGAGCCTTCTTCGATATACTTCCTTCGCCAGTCCACAAAAAACTTCTACACATTGCTTCAATTAACTTTGTAATCTTTTTAGGCAACACAAAAACTTGTGCCCAGTATATCTGTATAGAGAACAACACACTTTTTATTAGTTGGACTCTGCCAGCATAAGATAGAAATTTGGAAGTCCATGACTCTATTCTTCCCATTATCTTGTCGATTAGAGGTTGGCACTGGGCTTATCAAAAGTTAAATTGGTAAAAAAGCAAACTTTACACAATAAGGGTGAAACAATATACGACAAATTAAAATGATACTAAGTGAATTGTCATTTTTTATATTCATTTTAACTAGGGCGTATGCAGAAATTTTTATAAGCGTGTCGATATTTAAAGACGTGATCAATATCATATTAAAAAATTAAAAACACAAACTCTAATATATGAATAAAACACAATTGAAGTATATTATTAATTTTTTAAATGTATTATTAGTCTCGTTAGAATTAATACTAAATATTTTCTTTTGTATAATACACCAGATCACAATCACTCAAAAATATACTGTATGGATTAAAAAATTCTAACACTAAGCAACAGGGAATCGAACTCCAGATGTTCCCGACAAATATGTAGCGCTAAGAACCCTTTTTGTCAAGTGATGTCGCTCCATTTTATTTCTATAGTATTTAGTTTGCGTATCAATTCGTATTCATATATTTAGTAAAATTTTCTGGTCAAGCGGTGTCGTGAGTCCAGGTGCATCCGCCCCTGATTTTAACAAATGACAATTCCATATATTTTCTTATATATTAATTTATTTATTGTAAAATATTATCTTAATGTAGTAATTTTAAAACTCTTTGCATGTTCTTTACAGATTGACGCTAGGTGCATATTTTAAAATATAATTTACATGTTCTTTTTGTACATATATTTTATTAATTAACGTTAGGCACACGTGCAACGCACGCATACTAAGACTAGTTAGAATTAAATAATAACGAGATTATTTAATGAATATACTATTATTAGTAGATGTTCATTGGGTTAAAAGTAAAATATACAAGATTTAATAGTATATTCATTAAATAATCTCTTTATTATTTAATTCTAACTAGTCTTAATATGCGTGCGTTGCATGTGTGCCTAACGTTAATTAATAAAATATATGTACAAAAAGAACATGTAAATTATATTTTAAAATATGCGCCTAGCGTCAATCTGTAAAGAACATGCAAAGAGTTTTAAAATTACTACATTAAGATAATATTTTACAATAAATAAATTAATATATAAGAAAATATATGGAATTGTCATTTGTTAAAATCAGGGGCGGATGCACCTGGACTCACGACACCGCTTGACCAGAAAATTTTACTAAATATATGAATACGAATTGATATGCAAACTAAATACTATAGAAATAAAATGGAGCGACATCACTTGACAAAAAGGGTTCTTAGCGCTACATATTTGTCGGGAACATCTGGAGTTCGATTCCCTGTTGAAAAATATTAACAGAAATTCAAGTTGCTCAGCCCCAAACTTCGTTGTCTTTGTTCAAGAACAAACCCTAATTTCCGGCGAATCCGCAATCGAGCAAAACCCTGAATCTCCATGTTTCCACGCATCCTGTAAAGTAGATAATTTCGTTGTATTGTAAACAACACAATAAAACAAGAAGATAGATAATTTCGTTGGAATTGATAACTGTAAATTCCATGGTAATCCAAGAAATTGAATAAGCAACAAATTGGCCACCTCTTACTCTCGTTCTCTCTGTTTCGTTCTCTTCTTATCCGTTCCTCTCTACTATATCTGTGTATGTGTATCTTCAATTTTGAGGAAAAGAATGATGAAGATCTAAAGGGGTGTGAGGCGCTGAAGATGTCTCTTTGGATTAGGTCCACTCTTTGTCCAGCCGTTCTCCTCTCTTTAAGCTGCTGCGCCAGCTTTTTTTCTTTTTGTTACTCTAGGTATTTTCAGAGAATGGGGGAAGAGAATGACATGTATCAAAGTAGAGAGAGAAAGAACTTGGAATGAGATGTTTATGTGAAATACGGTAATTATGTGAGAGAAAAATCTGAAAAAAGGAGAGAGAGAAATAAAAAATAGCGCATTTAGTGGCTTAGGGGTAGGTGGTAACCAAAATTAGATATTTTGCTATAAACATTAAAAGGTATATATAAAATATAATTTTTCAAAATGGTATTTATTTAAAATAAATAAGATGTTAACATTTGCTATAAGAGGTAAAAATTCCAAAAAAAAAAACAATATAGACTTGGACTAATAGTTTGCAATTGGCACGTCTAGGCACTGACTAATAACATATAGAAGAATTAATCCAAATAACCGTTCACCTAATCTATTAAACTAAAAATAACTGGTAGATATATAATATATGTATAATGTATATATAATAAATATTTAATTGTGTGTATTCAATATATAATTTATGTATATCAGCTAGAAAAAATAAACACTAAATTTGGCCGGCTTTTGTGTAATAGTACCATAACCTAAATAGCTGCTTGACTGCTTACACTAAAAATGTTGGAAGATGCATAATATATGTACAATATATATATAGTGTGTGTGTTAATTTATTTATACCGGATAGAAAATATAAATAGTAAATTTGACCGATTATTTGCGTAAAATTGATATTTGTCGTCTAATTATCTATATTACACATTTGAGAAGTAAATAGTTTTGCCTATTTGTATTTCATAATGATATAGAAGTAATTGGATGTACGTTAGGGATTATTACACAAATAGCCGTCAAATACAGTGTAAAGAAAATTCAGACAGCTTTTAGTTGGAGTCCTAAAGGCAGGCTCTGTTCAACCTAGCTGACTTGGACTGGGTACTTAGGCCCATGATCAGGTAAGTCGGATATGGGCCTGAGCATTCAATAAGAATATAAATGACATTAGATAGCCACTTTTATGGCTACTCTTTAAAACATAACCAACAGCTAATGACTAAAACATAGGAGCATTTGCATTTATATCCGCTATTTCGGTCACGTTTTAACTTGTGCCCACTTTGCAAAAAAATTTGTAAGCGTACCCACTTTTTCGTGTAACTTCAGCGTACGAGGCTGAAGTAGAAAAGGCAATCACGCAAAAGTTCAGCATTCTAGTAGACGAGACTGAAGTAGCAAGTTTTTGTTTTTGTAACTGGCGAACTTCAGCTCTAGAGCTGAAGTTTTTGTTTTGTAACTGGCGAACTTCAGCTCTACAACTGAAGTTTTGTTTTGTAACTGGCATAAAGCTGAAGTTTTGTAACCCCAAATGCTCTCTTTTTAGAGCTGAAGTTTTGTAACCCCAAATGCTCTCTTTTTTATCACACATGGGTCAACTCCATTTTTTCTTCTTTCCTTTTATGGCTCATGGCCACATGATTCCTACGTTAGACATGGCTAAACTCGTAGCTTCACGTGGGGTTAAAGCCACTATAATCACTACCCCTCTCAATGAATCCGTTTTCTCCAAATCTATTGAAAGAAACAAGCATTTGGGGTTCGAATTGGATTGTAAAGGAAGTTGCAATAATAAATACCAAAAGAGTACAATGAAAATAGATGTTGGTGGTGGTGGCAGTTCTTGGCCTAGTTTGTGGAGCTGAACTTCAACAAACAATGGGATCTGACAATATTGGTAAAGATCATTGTCTCTGTTGCTCCATTTTTACATATTATTGGCTTCCCTCAGAAGGGATATACGTATCACTATAGAAGAAGAAGAAGAAGAAGAAGAAGAAGAAGAAGAAGAAGAAGAAGAAGAAGAAGAAGAAGAAGAAGAAAACGAAGGAGGAGGAGGAGACAGAGACCTGAAGTTGTTTTAAAAGTAGGTACAGGTTAAAACTTTTAAAAAAAATGGGTATAAGTTAAATGGGGGTGACCAAATAAGGCGCTCCGTGCAAGTTTTACCTAAAACATATGCTTTACAAAATTTAAACATGTGCTGTTTTATTGCACATAATTATTATCACTTGTTACAGTTAGTTTTTTTTTTATACATTTTCATCTTATTTTATCACTCTTTGAATTTTTTTATGTGAAGAAGTAAGCTCTGCATAAATGGTGCGGCAAAAAAAGTTATATATATTAAACCTTGTGGTTAAAGGTTAAGATTTCATGTGTTAGGTTAGGTGATAGATAACATGAGTAATTAAATAGTTTTCTGTTTATCTCAAAAATACGAGTAACAATTAAATTTGATTTGTTGTTTTAAAGATACTGTATTGGTCAAAATCTGACCGCTACGGTCGATCCAGCCGACATCCCCTCCAAGCGGCGAAACAGTGAAAGCTGACATGGTTTATTTCAAATCCAGTATTCACCACACCGGCCAAGTCAAAAATCAACGCTTAGGGGACGACGGAGGCGGACGTAGTATGAAAGTGTATCAAACCAAGCACATAACAAAGATTCCCTAACTATATATATGGGGTAAAAATCTTCTAAAAGGGGGACTTCTCTCTCTCTCTTTCCTCTCCTCTATAACCTTCATAGTAGAATGAAGAACAAAGCAATCTCCAAGAGAATATGTAAAATGGCTTCCTCCATTGATTAGTGAGAGACAAAATGAAAAGTATCAATAAGATCGATTACCTCTATCTCATTTTATGCATTATTTTCCGATTAGTTTATAGATCTGGAGTTTATTATGTTTAACTAAGATTTACCCCTTAATTATTTCTATTGATTTAGTCGAAAAGGTTTCAATATCTTTTTGGTCAAACAATTTGGCATTGTCTGTG